GCAAGCAAATTTAGTGGATTGAATAGAAGTTATTCAGCTTCATAAGTGTTTTTGTTTAAATATATTTGTGTCTGCGTCTCATAGGTGCGTATGAGTGGGCTCAGAAGACCTTAAAAGATCATGCCAAAGACAAGAGGCCGTATCTCTACACGCGTGAGCAGCTGGAGAAAGCAAAGACTCATGACAAGCTGTGGAACGCAGCTCAGGTACAACGTTCAGTCTAAAATGAAATGTTTGAACGCATTCGGTCCATGTTGTGCTTTTTCTAACTGCTGCATCACCACCATTAGCACCAGATGGTTACAGAGGGGAAGATGCATGGTTTCCTGAGGATGTACTGGGCCAAAAAGATCCTGGAGTGGACTTCTTCCCCAGAGGAGGCGCTCTCCATCGCTCTGTACCTAAACGATCGCTACGAGCTGGATGGTCAAGACCCTAACGGCTTTGTCGGTAAGAACAGATTTATTTAGACTTATTTGATCAAACATGCATTCGTTTTCTCACACACTCTGCTGCATTTTGGTCTCGTAGGATGTATGTGGTCTATTTGCGGCATCCACGACCAGGGCTGGGCGGAGAGAGCCGTATTCGGGAAGATCCGCTACATGAACTACAAAGGCTGCCTTCGGAAGTTTAACGTGGCTCAGTTTGAGAGAAAGTACTGTCCTAAAAGTCTTTGAAGCACGATATGTTTGGAAGGATGCGTTAAAAGCGCTCGACAGCGTGGATCTCCTACATCTTGGCCTCAGGGACATTTTTTCTTGTTACAGCCTTTCTGTTTTTTGTTCTGTTCATCACAGCTTGTTTTGTTCTATTCTTGCTTGCGTCGACACTTTTACTAAATATTCAGACGTGTTCATGCATAATAAAACTGTAGGCTGTTTGTGGCATTTTAAAGTGAGCTTTAGAGAAAGCACTTTGGGCTTTGTTAATATAAAAGCACCATAAAAACAATCACATTACTACTGTCGTTCGGTTTTTAATACAAGTTTGAAGTCATTTTCTGTCCACTTGTATCATTTCCAACTCTCTCACTGTTATTTCTTTAAAGTTGAGATAAAGCGTGTTTCTTTAACAGACTGAACTGCTCTTTACTCAAAAGCATACTCCCCACCCACAGTGACTGCGACGTAATTTAATTTGAATCCAACTCTTTCACCATTTAGCCAAGGTTTTCAGTAATGCTGCCTACAGCTATGTTTGATGAGAGGCTTTCCCCATAATCTAATCAAACCGGCCAATATGTTTTTTGTTTTTTCTGTAAACACATCTAGCATAAACTGTCAGCAAACAGATGGAAAAATAATGCTCTAGACTAGAGAACCTCACATGATCCAAAGTGAATCTAAATGAAAAGTGTGTACAGTATTAATATTCTCGTGTTTGCAGCCACTGGGTTTCATCACAGCCCTAAATGTGCTTTTATTGAGCTCAGATGTAATTAAACAGAACCAAAACCCATTCTATCCAGCCTAATTAACTGCACTCCTCAGTAGTGGATAAAAACAGCCCGCATCGGTAATGACGTGCTTAACACCAAGTCGCAAATTGGCATATGAAAGCTCGTCCTTGCGATGGCCTCTTTTGTTGTGCTCGGTTCATTTCAGGGGAGAGAGATACTTCACCTTTTTTTCCTCATTTAATTAAAATGAGCTCAGAGAAGTAGACTTTTACAGGTTACAGTCATAAAGGATATACTCTCACTGCTAAACTTTATAAGGCATGCCTATTCTGCTGCTCTCTTGTAGTGCAAACATCTAATCAGCCAATCGCATGGCAGTAACTCAACACGTTTAGGTATGTAGACATGGTTAAGATGACCCGCTGAGCGTCAGATTGGAGAAAAATGGTGATTTAAAAGAGGCACAGTCGTTGGCGTCAGCAGTTTTACTCGGGGATATGATGAAACAGGAGGTTTCCATTATGGATACACAGCTGACAAATCTGCAGCAAATGTGTGATGCTGTCATGTCGACATGAAGCAGAATCCCAGAGGAATGTTTCCCGTATCTTGCTGAATCCATGGCGCAAACAATTATGGAAGTTCCGAAGGTAAAAGGGGGGTCCAATCAGATACTTGCAAAGTGTACCTAATGAAGTGGCTAGTGATAGTGTGGTTATATTCCAGCGAGTAGGGCTGTGAGTCACATTAACAGCTATAGAGACGGGAGTTATTTTCCTAGAGTAAATGGCTTGATTGATCTAAACAATTTCATTGGTATCTAATTATCTCCTGACTGACTGACCTCGTCTAAACTTCTGGCAGGATTATCACTGCTGATATTTGATATATAAATATGCTGCTGACTATCACAGAATTATAAGGAAACATTTTCAAAAGAATTTAACCACACA